ATTCCAAGCGACGAAGAGTTAAGAGCCTGTTGCAGCGTAGGCTATGCAGAAGAAGAAAGCGATCGACTGAGAACTGTTGGACGGTTTTGGAATTCCGAATAAGAATTCGAGACCGACGAGTCACGAGGAGACAACGAGCAACAACAAAATGACAAGACATTACGACCCCGTGAACCCTGGCTGAACTAGCTGGTTTGCAACAGGTTACGACACAAGCTTAGTCAAGGCTTCGTCACCATGGTGGTCCAGACACAGGTTGTCTCTTAAAACAATGGCGTCTATCCATGTGTCACACGGTCGTTGTGACGTGAGGCAGAGAATTCATTAGCACGGGAGTCATTCAATACTGTTCCTTTGGCCGTAAACGGGAAGTTTCAAATTGGACTTGGACTTTGGCTTTGGTGGAACACGTCCTCAGGAGCTGTGACCTTCGATAATCAGAGGTAACAAACACCTCTTTCGGTGCACGAATGAGGAGCAACTATAAGCAAGTCTTCTCGATTCCTTCATGCTTGAAAAATGACAATAGGAAATAATATACAAGTGTGGTGAAGCGGAATTGTGCTAGGACTGGGGTTCAGTTCTGTCTCCATACTCTTCCTGGGCACATAGTAGCCGCTTTCTTCCAGATGCTTTCTTCCATTGCTTCCTTAGATTATGGAATGGGCCAGTCGATCCGTTGGAAATCCGAGACTCGACGCTGACATGAAACAGCTGATCGTTTGACTATTTGTAACGGCCACAATGCAGAAGTGGATGACTTCATCTTGAATCCACCAATCTAGTCAATGATGAAGTCGAACTTTTCAGTTCAGGCATTACTGTTTTCAGAATTCTCAAATAACACAACTAATTAGCAGTATGGAAATGCTCAGATCTTCATTAGTCCTAGTCTCGTTCAATATCATCACTTTCATGAACCTTTAAATGCTTCCGTCTATACGGTCTCGAAACCACTTTTTGGATGTCCACCATTTAAGGATTGTTGCTGCAGTTCCTTTTACGTTATCAATGACTTGCTTTTATGTCCTTGTACTTTTACGTCTCCCATGTGTAGAGGACATCAACATACCTATTTTCCTCCACACAAGAAATAGCCATTGCCAGCTGAAATTGAAAGATTCAGACTGAGTGACTTTTATATACCTCGGTGGCTTTTTCGGCTTTCGATGCCAGGCTGAAAAGAGAACTGGCACATTAGTCCCATGAAAGAATGTCACCTCAGAAGACAGCAGAGTGTACCTTTCATCAGACGTACACGGAAAAGATAAAGAGGACAAGGCCTAGTACTCCAGATAATAGTGGGGGGCACGATTAGGATCTGAGCCAAACGAAAGGGATGGTTGTGACGACGACAGGCACCAGAGCAATGTGAACCATTAGCTTTGCGATCGACATAGCTTACTTTCTCAAGTAACATCTGAAGTTTACTTCACGACTGTCCACAGTAAGTAGCTCACATAGCGTTTCATCTTTTATAGTTCTCAATTTTATCAACGCATGTTTTCACCTACATTCCTATTTTTGCCATCATTGTTGATGTGAGATACTTCAGATTGTGCAAAGGTTGAAACAAAGCCCACAACGAGAAAATTGTTATCCACAACTTTAGTAGCGTAAAACTTCAGCAGGCAGAGTGTTTGAAGTAGATTCCGGACATGTCGTCATGGGTCTACTTTACCTCAGTGCACAGTGTGAACTATGTCGTCATCTATGAAAGTCATATTTTATGTACCTATTCGCCGAAAGCTTTCTTCTTTACGGCAAGAAATTCTTTATCAGGCCTAAGTACGAGGCCTAAGTACAGGCCTCGTACTTAGAAGAACAATATTGGGATACTCAAATGCTAAAGACAACGGTTGTCTCGGCTGGTCACATGCCACACTGTGCACTGAAGCAATGCCACAGATGTCATCTGCTCAGACCATCCCCTTCGACTGTGTTGACGGTCTACTGGGTGTGCTCTATTGCATCATCGATGTAGTGCGTGTAGAACATCAGAGTTATGATTATCCGACGACGATTCTCCTTCCAAAAAAGTGTGATTGTGCTGAGAAAAGGTAGTGTCCTCCAGCGCCGTTGGCCGTAGTCTATGATTGACAGGTGTTTTTGAGAAGGCTGTGGATTTCGTATGATGAGGCTTGGATAAGTCTGACAGTGAAGGTTACAAGGGGAGCGATTATGATTTTCAGATGCATTTTACTTCATCGTGGGTGCTGCCAGGATAGACAGACGAACTGCTTGTGTCCACCAAATATAGAACAAGTGCAATATACGGCTCGGAATGAGCGGATGATATCCATCTAGAACAACATAATTTTCCGAGTTCGTTGCAAGCCTATGATAAATCACTCTCGCTAGAAAACTTAAATATAAACCTTTATTCAGTGCACTCCAGCTGAACAAATTTAGAAAAATCAGGAATTGAAGGGTGGAAATTTTCATAATTCATATTTTTTCCTGTCAATGCAGAAGACGGGAAAAGTTTATGTTTGATTGTGCAGCACTGTGCTTTCCAAAAAGAATGGAAGAATCCAGGAAAGAAAAGGGCACGAACTACAACTAAATTCAGGTATAGTAGGGATGGCCATTCTGGACAGAGAATGTACAAAGTTGTACCAATCTGTTGTTGCCAACAGGTATAACTCTGCTAATGTAGTACAACATCATGCAAAGTGGTTATGTCACATAACGTTATCGAGGTTGAGAGCAAACGCTGTACTTTATGTGCTCACGCATAACGATCCATCAATGTCCATGTTTGCATGGATGTCAATTGTGGACGTGGTTTTTTCCTTCTAGAACTCCAAATGCTGAAACTAAAATATAAATGTTTGAACTTGATGGAAGAGATGAATGTGTGAAGAACCTCTTAAAGTACCATGTGGAATATAAACGCTCATGATAAGTGGTAACGCTGAATCGATTTCTCTCCTACTTTTGACCTCATCATGAAACTCTATGGATGTCTTGCAAGAGCAAGATGTCATTATCAGCAATCTCCTGATACTGACCCTGGAAAAAAAAATTCATGACCTGGAATGGCAAGCGAAATTTTAGGTGGACATATGTGTCCTCACAACAATGCCGCTCGTCCACTATGATCGAGATGCATGTCCATGGATCTTTTCAATATTCGAACAGCTGTACATTATGATTCATTTCCTGGGTAGCACTTTTCTGAATGCATAAAATTAGCGTAGACCAGCACTGACTTGAGACAATTTGTCACAAGTTAAGGATGGAATCTGCCAGTTATATACCCCAGGTATATTTACAGAACTTGTTGGGATCGTGCGTAATAAGTATGTCAAACATGTGACGGACGTGGAAATTGGGAACTAATCAGTCGATTGACAGGGTTAGCACCGGAGAAGGTGAACCTTACTAGGTCTGAGCGGATTTCAACACAAGAGTAGTGAGCAAGAATTGGGAACATCGACGTTCAACCCTCTTGTCAAGGACTTGGGACCGCCTGAAAACTATGTACATCTGATGCACAGAAGTTCAGGATTAAGGGTTGTAAAGTTGCCAATCCACTCACTACTGTAAATCTGAATTCATGGACAAGATTTCTGCACCACTGGAAGATATCTGCTAGTTCGAGTTAGAACCTCAAAATGGAGACTCGATAAAAAAAAATTAAAAAAAAAGCGTGTTCCTTTCGGGTTCGTCTTTCATGGCTTAAGTCAATCGAGTGTATATCAAGTGTGACTTGGATTCATTCATTTTTATTCTATGAGATTTTGCTAGGAGTATATATTTCTTCACGTTTTGTCTCGACTGTATAGTAAACTATCGTGTGACAGTTTCGAGTTCCTCAATTTAAAATACGAACTCAGATCTGATTACAAGTGATCGCGCGGACGATGAAAGTGAATGTGGAGTGCATGAAAGTTACACGTGAATCAAAGAATGGGTTGGTGCAAGGTTTCTTTTGGGATTCTTCGGTTACCAAGCTATTAAATGTGTTTTGTGAGAGGTAAGGTCCGTAAGGTTTGAACGATGAACTTCATAACCAAGGGTTGCTGATCAGAAATTGTCTTTCGGTTCCATTGGTCGAGGCTTTCGAGATCTCGAGGATTTCAAGGTTCAAACTTCCAACATATCCAACTGCTTTTCTGTTAATGATCAGCAGACGTACACGGGTCCGTCCGTTCTTGCAACACGGCCGACAGGGCAGAACCAAGTGGCGGTACAACAGAACTCCTGGGTTAACACTCAAAGCGAACGAGAAAGTTGCAGGTGCACAAGAAAGTCGAAGAGCAGAGAGTGAGACCAGACACTTTTTTGCGTCTTGTACAAGGTTGAACAATTCCTCGTCAGATCAGTGCGTCCAGGGTTGAAAAGTACTTTTTTCCAGAGGTTTCGGTCTTCTGGTGTGACGGTCGTATTCTTTACAAACAAGTAGACCTCAAAGCTAATCAGAGCTTGGGCCGAATTGGTTACATCCTGAGGGACTTTGTGGCTCAGTTCAATGGTCATCATCTTTCTGTCCGTGCTATTTCGTGCGCCTGCAGTCTTGGTCTTTGCCCGCAGCCAGTTGACGCTAATACGTACGCTGGGTCTTCAGGGTTGACCATCGACTTCACGCGTTGTTTCCGCGGTCCAGTGACCTCCACCCTCCGTGCAGATATAGCAAGGTTGACATTTCACTTAAATCTCGAAATATGAACACTTGAACCTTGCCACTTGGAATTCCTACTTTTCTATCATGCTGTCGCTACAACAAGAGATGTGTGCCATACGTATTTTGTCAGTTAGTATGGTCAAGGTGACGGCTCAATACGTTCTTTCGGAATGTTAATCTACTGCGCCATTAGAAGCGTATGATCCACGAAAGTTTGAGTCTCATCTCTGGAAGCACAAGCTTTGAATTTTCCAGGTGAGTTGAACACCTGGTTCTTGTTTCAGTTCGGAATTTCAAGTCCACTGTGTAAAACAATGGCATGCGTTACTCGGGATGATAACAATTACAGTCACTTTGAACACGCGATGGTGTGAATGATGGTGAAACTCTTTCTCCTCCTCGTTTTATAAGTGGGCATTAACTTCTTTCATGTGCACAACATGAGAATGACGTGAAGAAATCTTCTTCACGTCATAAGAACTTACTGGTCATGTAATCTTCAACGGCAAGTTGAGAGGAACTACCTGAATCTGTGCAGCAAAAAGTCCATACTTGAAGAAGCGCATTCACTCACTAGTTGTAGCTAATTGTCGATCAAGACAAGATAGCTCCTATGACGTTCTGACACATCCATAAAAAAGTGTTTGTCCTATTAACCCTGTGATAACATCTGTGCACGTAACTCCAATCTCAAATCCGCAGACCTGGAATAGATTTTCCTGTGGTCCTCGTAATACACACGGAACTTCCAGAGTGTAGAGTATCTTCTGCAATTACGATTCAAAGAATCAGCGTTGATATGGATCTTTAATACTGTGTAGAACAACTTCATCATCTTGCAACATAACCCTAGCGAGACAGCACGAACAAAAGGTTGATTGAAACACATGGAAAATATTAATGATCTTTGAAAACAGCTTATATGAGGTTTGTGGAATTTTCTAAGACAGTGTAGGCAGCAGCCATATCCGACGCCCTTGCAAACTCTGATCGTAGGTAGCATCAAAAGATAGTATCTCGATGTCGGCCTTCAGCCAACGAAGAAAGTGGAAGATTTAGATATGGTAAATCGAACTTACGAATCAAGTGAAACGGGCCGATCAGGATGCATGACAAGGGGATGAGGTGTCAACAAATTATGTCAGGATGTCAAAACTGCATTGTCTTTGTCATTGTTTGTTGGATATAGTCTCCATATCCCCGCAAGAGTGCTGCCAAAAACAGAATGAAACACGCTGGAAACTGCACAAGGTACTGCAGTGAGAGGATTGGTGAAATGTTGACCTGCCAGCACAACTCCAAGAACGGAATTCTGCAGAACAAAAAACGGGAAATCAGACCAGGACAAGTCGTGCAAGTCGTTTGAGCAAATATCGTAGAATCACTAGATGCAATAATTCCAATTGTATCCTGCAGAGTCTTGTGATTGTTTGCATCGCTTGCTGCATCTACGAGGGCATGCATGGTGGAAGTCATTTCGCATGACTTTCATACTTGTGTCATCACTATGCATGCATCCACAAGACTTCTAAGTTGATATACGCCTCATACGAATTAGACGACCGGAAGGACTGGTCGGCTAAGATTAACTAGAGGCAAGATGAACATTCATAACAATGCCTGAAAGTGAGAGAAGTTGAAGCCCTAAACCTTAGATTGTTTCAAGGAAATGAATCTTCTGACAATCTAAATCACCCATAATTACAGAGGCTTCCAGACAAAACAATGGGCGCGAATAGCGGGACAAATAGGAGGTGCGACCAACCTGCATTCCAACTTCGATCGAAATGGTTCTGCAAGACGCTTCGTCAATGCGGAAAAGCTTCGACAATATGTAGCCTCCAGCAAAGCCAAGGCCGTGCAGAGCACCCACTGCCAGAAACAGCTGTCCACCGGAAGAAAGAATGGCACTCGCACTACGACCTACTGCTCCCGCGCATACTATGGCGACCATAAACACTGCAATGGATGGAGCCAATATAGAGATCTTCTTGACGGCACTCTTGAAGAAGTAATTCAAAAAAGCGCCTCCAAGAACTGGCAGCAGGACCACCTGAGCAGATCGAATCGTCAATGTACATACGCCAGCGGACGATTTTAAAATCCAGAATCCCTCGCTACCAACAACTTTTATCACACCTGATTTTCAAAAGAGGGCTGGTAGAGGGAAAACACGTCTAAGGCCTGATTGATATCTTCCAACCAACGAAGTTCAGGTAACATAAGGCAACGTATCGAACTTGGTACGATAACAAAGTCCAACCCAGACTTGACCACAACTGACTACGAATTTCCATATACTGTACATACCTGCACAGTGGAGAAAAACAGGGAGGCCGCGTCCACAGCAATATATTGCCCAACAAGCTTCGCAGTCAAAACTGGAGTCATAATCTGCGCGTTGCAATTTCCCAATCAGTAACTTGAAACGATATGACGTCGATAGTGTTGCTATTCGAAATGCATGAAAGCTTTATGTTCTCTCTCGCACTCCAAGGTGCCCACCTGAAGGTACACAGGATGTATTCCCCCTTTTCAGTATGTCCATATTTACGACGAGCACGCTTCTACTGATACACCCCACTAAGAACTAGAACGAGAAAGCAGACAACGAGCCTTAATCTTCGCATGTTTATTTGAGTACTTAGGAACCGGAATAGAAAAGTTTGAAGCAAGCAACCAAAGACTAACAAGCAGTCTATGGCAATTTACAATCACGGCAAATGCGTTAGGTAGGTCATGAAGGACGCTTACTACAGCCAAGAAGGTGCTCACGGCTGTCATGATGACCGAGAGAGCCACATTTCCCCTGCAAAGTCACAATAACCAGAAGTTTACAATGGCCGCAAGTTTATGAAATGAAGGAGTCATCCCATCATGACAGTGATAGTGCTACGATGCCTGGTGCGAGAAAATGTTCATTATTAAGCGAGCTAGACTCCAAACGATGCAGAAATCCAAATAATTGTCCTAGGCACGAAACACACCTGGCAAGGTAGGTAACGATATTACTCGCGGTACCTTCAACAGAAGGACATGAAAATAATCAGTTGCATTCATCAACTATTGAGACATCAGATTCAACCACAACTCTGTAACCACAAAGAATGCGAATCATCACAAAGGCGACAGAATGGCAACGAGCAGACAGTGGAAGAGGGACCTTTCCAACAGAAGCTGACGATAAATCTGAAACACTGACATTCACCATTGCTGCTTTCGATTAATACCTCCGGGACAGCACGCTACAAGGATAAGGCCAGCAGCAAAGTGCGGAGGCAGCTGCAGCAACTTGCTCACGAGATAGCCTGAGGTGGGCATCACCTGACGGCATGAAAGAAACGATGGAGTCATTAAGTCAGCCTTTTCACATAGCTGAAGCCATTACAAAACTAAAAAAGACGTCAACATTTTTTTCCGAGTAGTTGGTTCACAAGTTAAAGGGGAGTTTAACACACCGTGTACTGGAGGACGACTCCGGCAAGCACTTCCTTCGGCATCGACAATGCGCCTTGGAAATCCTTCGGAGTTAATGTCATACCCATCCCTGCCAATCCAGCAAGCACTCTGTTCAGCTTGTTTCCTCATGCCTCCCAGTTTTACGTTTGTCTACGTAAGTCATGAAGAAAATATGTGGAGATTTCATGTAAGCATTCCAATTCTTCGGAAAGCCCACCTTAAGTCACCATGGGAATATCCCTTAATTTCTGTCCATATTTACAATGGGCACGCCCCCAATGCGCCCCATCAAGAATTAGGACAATTGCGTAATTCTACTGCATGAGGCTGCTCATTGTCCGAGTCCCTCAAGCTTGTAACCACGTTTATACCGCAACAGAAATTAAGCAAAACCTTCACTCTACATATTAGCTTCGAACTTGGATTTCCAATCTCTTTTTGGAAAGTCTATTCCAAGCTTCCACTAAACCCTCCACGCGCACACCACCATTACAACCTCTCATCTACAACCTAGAGCCAGCATTCTCGTGCTGAACAACTACGGTAGGTCATCACACTTTATCCTGGATATCCCTTAATTTCTGTCCATATTTACAATGGGCACGCCCCCAATGCGCCCCATCAAGAATTAGGACAATTGCGTAATTCTACTGCATGAGGCTGCTCATTGTCCGAGTCCCTCAAGCTTGTAACCACGTTTATACCGCAACAGAAATTAAGCAAAACCTTCACTCTACATATTAGCTTCGAACTTGGATTTCCAATCTCTTTTTGGAAAGTCTATTCCAAGCTTCCACTAAACCCTCCATGCGCACACCACCATTACAACCTCTCATCTACAACCTAGAGCCAGCATTCTCGTGCTGAACAACTACGGTAGGTCATCACACTTTATCCTGGAGTGGTGCCGATGATTACAATAAATAAGACTTTCTCCGAAATCATCCCAGTGCAAGCCATTAAACGATTACAAATGTAGACGAAATAAACGAACGAAGAGAGTGGAGGTCATACCAAGCATGGTGACGGTGATTCCAAAGACTTGCACTCGCTGATCAATCCAGTAGGTTGAGCTGGGCCAGACGAGAGCCAATACACAAGCCAATGCTACCCACAAAGGGAAGGCCGAGGACAGAGCCTCTCCGATCTGCTCTGCATTCTTCTCCCAGCCTTGCAGCTCCACAGCGGGTTCTGCTCCCTCGTCGTCCTCCCCATCATCTTGGGACGATACAGATGCTCCACTGCCACTCAGCAGGCGACTGTCCAGACGACCATCTCGTCGAGAAAAAGCAGAAAGTGTTCCACACGGAGACGACGAGCAAAATCCCTGTTTCCTGGTCGACAGAGCGAACGAACTTTTCGAGAAATGTCGGCCTGTTACAGCGCCAGACAATCGACCCGCTGAGGTCATGGAACAGCCGAGCATTGCACTGCCCGAGGGTCTCCTCCTGTCTCCATGGCTTGCTCTGGCGAACGACGACGACGGCGCACACTGTACAGGAGGAAGACGAAAGGCCGTGAGACCGGTCGAGGCAAGGGCGAGCTCCATAGTCGCGCTACAGTTCGCAAGACGAGGGCAAGAGACCGATTTCGGACGAGACGACTCCTCTCAGCAACATGGGAACTTGGCTACATCGCATGCGTACGGCCTAAGGAATCGCCAAGCCTGTGCAGCATCCCGATTCGTGAAAATCCTCGACCCGAGCCGCAGTGCCGATTTCGCTGGGCAGCGAACAGTGCGAAGATCACCCGAACGCAAGGGCGGCTGCAGCATTTCTTCGACCGGAGCAGGCAGCATCAGAGACGCCCAATGCGGGCCTGCCAAATCGCCACCCGGACCTGCAGAGCGAGCTGGAACCGCCTGCAAAGCGGCAATGTTCTCGCCCCGCAGACATAGCTGCTGCTGCAGGCCTCAGCCGCAGCCGCAGCCCCAGATCGGAGTCCAGGTCCCGACCGCCGAGCTCGAGAATGCGTAAGGAGGATTCTTCTTTACCGCCTTCTTGGCCGACTACACTTCAACTGCGCTTGTCAAAGTTTCCAGTGGTCGGAATTCCATGCACGTTATATTCAAACTACATCGTACACACATTTCTTTCCTTTCATACTCTGAATTTCATCTTCTATAACTGAGAAATGTTGCGAGTGTTAAAGGTTAGAGTACTATGTATTCGACAAAGTTTTCCTCTTCAATTTCAAGGGTGATGTATGATATCTAAGTAGGCTAATTAGAGTTATAATCATTCTTGTAGGTATGAAAGTTGGGCGAGAGTTATTTATGACATTTATAACGAGAATAGACATTGCTCGATCGTGTTTTCTGTAGCTTTCGAAGTTATTTGTTTCTAGAACTATTGCATTTAGAGGAATGTTTTGGTGTTGAGTGGAGCGACATAACTCTAAGCCTACGGAATGAGTTCACCACTTTCTTTTTGTTAGGCGAACGTCACATTGAGTCACTTACGTAAACTTTGGTGTGCTCGTGAGAGAATCACAAGAGCCTAATACACTAAAAAGAATTTATAACACTCTCTTTAGTTTCATATCTAATCCTTTTGCATTGCTCTACAAGTAGCCAGTGCTTCCCATAGTTGGATCTGTCACGGTTGTGAAATTTCACTATGAGCATGAAAATCTTATCTCTGAACAATACGGTAGGTCCACGTACTGCCATTCCTAGAAAAAAAGACAATCCCATACAAAAGAAGAAAAACGAGGAATGTAGTGTCGAATAATGTGCGCCCCTCATAAAAGTTCAAGGCCAAACTGCAAGTCCGTGATTTTTGTTATTCTGTATTTCCTGTCATATGTTGACCTTTTATTGTTTGCGTCCTATGGATTTGTTGCCAGTAACAAAATGGACTGGCAGAAGAAACCACCTCAAGAAAAGCGACATGAACGGAGAGCATCGAAAGTAGTAAGATCAAGCTTCATCAATACTCGTGAATCTAGTCACTTTAATTGGAGGGTGAACGCTTCAGGGGAATGCTGGATAGCCGTGGACCATTTCAGAGCCATAAGCCATGCACGAGAGAGGACATCTTGATGCTCTGTTTGTGAAATGGCTCTGGTTTGCATTTATGAAGATCTCCATGTCTGCTGAGTCAAGCAAGGCACATCAATTCTTCGGAGTACAACTTGACCCCTCTTGTTTAATTTACGTAATTGATCTATGGCAAAACTCCAATCCCATAACCATAACCATAGATGGGTCTTCCAATTTTTATTTCTATCCACTTGGCCCCCACTTATTCACAGAACATTTGCATATGCAGCTTCATTTTGTGCACTCCGCTGTTTCACTCCTTTCCTTGTTGTGAGGCTCGAGTAAGACTTTAGACTCGTCAGTATGTGGTCGATGGAAGTCCACAACCAGTTGCAATACATGGACACAAACAGCAGTGTTCAACAATTCCGAGGAAAGGTTTCAACCTCGTCCTTGATCCTTCTCTTTGTCTTCAAGATCGAGTTCCCATCTGAAAGGGAATTTTCGTGCCGTCCCACGAGCTTTATACGAAATAGTTTACTGATGCAACTCAGCAACAAGTGAGATGTAGGTAATCTTGAATGTAGAAGAGTCCATCATTGTGGGATGTAGGAATGGAAAGACTCTCGATCCAGTTCAGAGTCCGATGATATGTATAGGTTGTCAGTGCTCAAGCGATAACATGTCGTTGGCTTCAGCAGTGATAATCCGTCGGGAGTTGGGACCATTTGAAGCATAGGAATGCTGGCAAGTAGCAAATCCAAGGGAAGGGCTTGCAAGATCGCTGTGTGCGAGTCTTGGAAAACGACGAGCCATCATCACAAAGACGATCCGCCTGTGAAACACAGAATAAAGAGCACAAACCAGGAAACGCATCAAGAAGTCAGCACAAAACAAGCTGTTTCTCGACCTGCAGGATGTTTGCGATCAAAGTTGTGCTTACAAACATATACGCACGAATACAACTCTTCGGGTTTACATCTGATCGTTGAATTCAGCTCTCTCTGAGCGGATCTAAAACTGTAATGCTGAGTTGGATTCACATGTTGCAACTGGGATACACTCTGCTTAAATCGTGATGTAGCCAGGTTCTTCTCTTTCAGTCTCGTACTGTGTCACTGACGGTGACCCAACGAGATGATCTGTCAGACTCACGAAATTCTGCAATGTCTTTGGCGACTCTAGTAGACCTTCGGTGACGAGTGTCAGGTACATAAGGATCGGTAAAAATTTTCGTTGAAGTATCTTCTAGAGTCGGCAACCATCTTTTTTCTGGTTATTCTAGACATCGACATGCATGTGACGGTTCTCTCTTTGTCTTTAATATTCAACATGTAGGGATGCTCCTAGTATGCCCCAGTGGCTGACAGTGATAAATAATTTATTTCAATTACTGATTGAAGGTCATGTTGATGTGCCCATGTGCAGGTTTTCTTGGTTTGACACGATCAGGGAGTAGGTCATGTCTGGAAACTTCTACGTTTTCGACCTGAACTCGTCCGAGCAGTTTCCCTTGGCGTCATGCTACACCCATGGATTAAGCAGATGACCAACTGTATAGATCTTCGCCAGCACTTTCAAAGAAGATGTTTACACTAACATATTCCAGATATTCCATCCAAGTCTCTAATGTGCAATCGAGATTGGAATCAGATGAAATCAGTTTGCAATCACTACTGTGGAAGAAGACTCTCGATACCTCTGTTTATTCTAGCTCTCGTTGGCGTCAGCTTGTCCAACACCTGCTGAAGATTCATTCACTTGATTGATAATTCCAAAGATCGACTTACTTGGAACTCAGGAGCCAGGCAGTGCAGAGGCCTTGTTTGCCAAAGAGAGGACACATCACTTGATGAAGAGTTTTCTAAATCGGTGGCATGAGGACCCTCGAATAGGGATCCCAAAGGTATATTCAGATGATGAAGAAGCTCTGAGGCCGCTCATCGACTGGCTCAATTGGACATGAGACTTTACTTCTGCTTTTGTCTTGCATTGTTGTAGCATGCTGGGGATCCGGGTATGTTTGAAATCCTTTTTCTGAATGTTGGATACCGAGAGCCGGATCTTGACCGATGGAATTGATAAACAAGAGCTTGCCATGCTTATGATCTGAAAATCCTTGTTCAGGGATACGGAGTTATGTGCAGCCTGGAGAGACAAGCTTTTGGAAGCTCCGGCAATCCTCATTCAAGCTAGTCATGATATTCCTTTTACCATTTCTGCTGACTCTCAATTCTTTAAAGAAGAATTCCTTGCTAAAAAAAGGTACCTTTGTCCTAATCTTTAAAACTTTGTTACAATTGACTCTGGACACTTGCACCAGGAACAACACGAGATCGTAAACAAGCTGATCGCAGAGTTTTTAGCTTCTCTCCAGCCATCGTGATTCGCACCAGAAGGTCACAATCAAAGCCTCTGTCATTGTTTCTCGGAGTCACGTTTAACATCTAGCTGGTCATCGGATGAAGAAATCCAGGTTGTCGAGGAGAACAGACAGGGATCTCAGGTGACATGCGAAATGATCATGATACAGTCTGCCAGTCCAAAAAGTCCGCTAAAATCGAATCTCATTTGCCCATATACCATCCATACACACACGTAATTATAATGACGGTGGTCAAGCACAGTGCCTGGACGAACTATTGTGAGCTCCTGACCAAGGGCCTTTCAGAAGCTGTTGGCCACATGTAAGGTTTGGTGAAAATTCGTGAGACGGTTTATTCAGTAGTTACTTGTGGTCTTTGGGCTCCAAAGAGTTTCACTTTCTATACCTTAACTGATAGCTTTCATGATAGCATGTAAGTGATTGTAAATTGATCATCTGTTGTGAGTATATAGATGAAGGGAATGCAACAACTTGCTTCCTGTCTGTTGTTCTCGAATTTGCAGAAGTTTGAAAAGGATCCTTGGCTATTAACAAGCATTATAGATGTCTTCAGTAAGAATTTCACTTGCAAGTTGAGGGTGCGCAGTTCAAAAAGTAGAACGGACATGAAATGGGTTGCAAGTTCTATAAGTTCATGAAACATCGCCGATGAGTTTGGCACTATCTTCTCTAGTCTTCCCGTGTACTCTGCCCGATAGCATTCGTGGTACTGCAACGAGTGTAGTGCATGTTATGAGGAGTATGTCTCAGCATTAACTTAAGATCGTTACCTCGGAACTTGTCTCCTCACATTGAAGAAGATCTTCGCCCCGTCTCATGCTGCCATCACTTCTTTTGTCTGCTTGCCAAAAGTTGTAGACTTTGTAAATGTTAAAGAAATGGCTGCCTACTGATGAGGCTGGCTTCCATCTCAAGCCGGCCCGACTCGGACGCATACAAGGTGTCGGCTCTGTACATCTTGCTTCAGCGTAGGCTATGTCGGGTTTCCTCTACAACGTCCAATGAAATTTAGTAGGGACTACTATTCTTTGCCAAAAATAAATGCTCATAGTTTTACTTTTCCTTTTACTTATTGCATCAGATAGGAGTGAAACTGTCTTCTGAAAAACTCTCTCTCCTACAGAATATAAACAACAGCATTGGAAATGTTTCAGCTATCACAAATCACAAATCGATAGATGAAAAGAAGTAAAGACATACGATGCTGGGATAAACACAGCTCATTGTTTTCAGCAAGAAAGGGCTTTAAGAGCTAATGACCATGGAGACTTACAGCAACCCTTCGATGCGCGATGAACCACTTACGGAACAGAGAAGTCGGTGCTGGTCCTACAGCGAACACGCGATGCTCAAGCGTACAGTTGATGTACTTGTGTGTTGTGTGCTACCATGAACAGAGTCCCCTTTCGAATCGGAAAGCAGCAGAAAGTAAGCAAGTGCACGTGTAATAAACTGATGCATTACTGGTCCAACAACGAAGCGTGGATTATATAATTGAATAGAGAGGAGGTTGTATAGAGGACCTACATACAGAGCATGAAGTGAGTGAGCAACTGAACGACATGCCATTTCATCGAATCCAATATCTCCTTCAAGCGTGGGGCTTCGAAAGTCTTACTTCCAGACATGACCCACCATTTGTTTGTAGCTTGCCTTGGGCCCTACTGTTTTTCAAGTTTCGACTTTGAGCATCATTCAGTCAAGCAAATATGGTTCAAGTACAAACAGCCCCCACCTTTTTTTTTATCCGACAACAAGCTTAATAATATAAAACCACAATGTCAAGCGACCATCTCCAATCCTCAGCGTCTGTGGCGTTTTGTCGATGAATTTCTAACTTTCTTCTGTCGGATTAATCCATATAGATAACGTGATAGATGGATCTATGTGAGTAAAATTCAATGTAATTAAATTCATTGTTGAGGTGAAATACCAAGTAACACAGTAGAAACACAATCCGTTAAGTACATGAGTTGTCAGTACTAACTTGAAATTTTCCAATACTAATCAACTCAGGTTGTATATCTCCAAGTTGCTAAACCTCTCCTCTACTTCTCATTAACTGGATACTGTAGGGGTTGCTTCTTGGTCTACCAAAAACCTCTTTTTTCCAATCTTGACTTATATTTCTATATCTATTTCTATTTAAGTAACAAAGACGTCTTCAAATCAAGTTTAAGGATTATTTTGCAAGATCTTGTTTTCATCTTTGTAATTTTTTTCTTCCATACTTTACAAATATGTTGCAACTTAATTTTTTTCTTTATTAAAAATATTCAAATCTATGAATTTTTCAACTTGATATATCTTTGTACTTGCCTAATATTTATGATTGTCAACATATCTCATCATTATTTTTGGTCTAATTGTAAGGTAATAAATTTAATAAATTCTAATAAAATTCACATCAAATTAGCAGTAATTATCATCTTCATATTTTGATGTTAATTTTGTGATAAAGACTAGAGTTCAAATATTTTGTAAGGTCAATAATGTTGGATCAAACATATATCTAACATTGCGTTATGATGATTTTTTAAGGAGCAAAGATTCATTGACCAGTGAAGATTTTCTTCTTGTAAATTAGATTTTTAATATCACATGTCTCTTTGCAAATCTCTTCCAAACTTTTCTGATAAAATCTAAGATTTCACAACTTTCTTTTGTTTTAGTATTTATAATGTGAAATATTTGTCTTTTGTAGCTAATGTTGTTGAACTTAATCATACTTTACTTCCAGTTATTATTTTAAGATTTTATGTTAATATGCTTTTGATTCATTCAAACTAATACAATGTGAATGTAATGAAATTTTAATGATTTTTTTAATATAATAAATGTTTAATAATCTAATGATTAATTAAATTTTCGCATAACATGATTAAATTCATCAGTAAAAAAAAGGATTTTTTTGTACATAGTAAATAAAATCTTGAAGAAAATATTTTTCGAAATTTATTGTGTGCATGATTCATGTTTCAAATTCATCCAACATTTATAAGTATTTACAATTATTTAAAAAATTATATAAACAGAAAATTCTTTAATAGATGATTGATAAGCTAAACTTGTTCATGAGATCTACGATTTTATTTTTTTCATTCAATGATCCTCGTCAATACCTCTGCAGCTTTCATTAACTTAATATTACCGTAAATGTATTGATACTGTAAGAATAGATTCCACAGTAAAAAAATACAAGATAGCTCCAGTATAGTTGCAATAAATAATAGAAAAATAATTAAAATTATATGAAGCAATGCATGATTTTTTTTGTATTCATATTAGAAGTAATAGCAATGAGCAAATAATCTAATGACATCCAATTTTAATTTTCTATTAAAATTTATTGAAAACACATGTGATCCATTAGTAAGCAACCCAAAATTATATCTCCATTCAGTGTAAGCTAAATTTGGTTTTCAAAATAAATATTTTTAAAAATGATAAATGTAAACGCTATACATAAATCTTATTTTTTTGATCAGTATAGAACATTGAAAATTTTAAAATTATCTTTCAACTGTAGTGTTTTCAGGTTCTCAAGTCTTGTGAGTACCTGAAAAATGGTTTTAAATGGTTACATATAAAAATAAATTATTTGGTAAACATTTGAAGTTTAGTATTTATGTTAATATAGTAAACTAAACTTCACATGCAGATACTTTGGTATAAAAAGCTTATCTACATGTAATGCATCCTTATGGAGGGTTCTGCACTTTCGGATCACTCAGTCAATGATAGAAAAGTGACCATCCCATGTTTTGACAGTTTGGTACTGGAAGCTTCAAGGTAATGCTCAATAATCAACAAATCAAAGGTATGAACAATGAGGCCTATAGTATCCACGAAGAGTGTATTATTTGCCAATTATGTAGAACACATCAACTGTCATGGTGGAAGCAAGAAACAAAAGATATCTAAAGTAAGCCATGACACATGAGTGTATTTCAAAAGTACCGACGGTAGTGTATAGAACGATGAATTTTGTGAAAAGCTAATTCGATTTAAAAGAAAAGTTACAAAATAAACTTCCGAACGAATGTGTTCACAAGAGACACTATTAACTCCATTTTCAATCTCCACATACAAGATATATGTTTGAATGTTTTAGTGCCCAGTTAGACCGCCTCACTACCTCATGGAGAGCAAACACTAAATCGGCGTGGAGAAAGATACTACTAGAGATGACAACAATGTTACATGCCAAGCGTACGACTTTAAGGGCACGATAATACCTCCCATATAGCAACGAGAAGGAAGAAATTCTATTGGAGTGAAAACGATCGATGCACAACTGTGAAGGTCTCGATGCTTTGTTCGCTTTGACGAGTTACTATTTGAAACACTGCAGTAACTCGTCTGGGTTATGGTGACTCTTGTCCATCCGTCACTACAACCTTCGCGTCTTTGAACGAGACTTTCTAGGCGCACTAGAATTACCACTCCAAAACACCAAACCAATTCTCTAGGACTCGCATACCTTCGATGATATAAACCACGCAAAAATTGAAGATAAACCACAACAAAGAGTAAAAAACATACTGGCTCCAAACGAAGGACTACGCGAAGCCGAGAGACCAGAGGTTCGTGACCCGGGTTAGCACACCTTCCACGTACCTTCGAATCGGCCTCCTCCAAATTACATTTGCCGTGATTTCGTACGAGCAAATCGTGTCGTGGTCAACTATGGTGATCTCGTAAGGCGTCCGTCCGAGTACTCACGAGGGCGTCTCACTCCGTCTCAAGCCCGGCCGGAGCTTGCACACCAGTGCTTTTGCTTTACGACTTGGCACGGAAGAGTTTCGTGACAGGTTTCTGGTCGCGTGCGAGGGAGGCCCGGACGATGTACAGAAAAATCTCTCGGGGCTCCAAACTTTCAACGCTGTACTGCACCTGGCGTCGAAGATTCTTCTGCTCAGGTGCCTCGGACGGCTCTTCGCCTGATCCAAGTGCTCGTCTGGTCTCTCTCTGGGATCCATCCACCGACAAACGACGCCACTCTCAGAGCTACATTTGGAACTTTCTCATGCTCCTGAACGCTTTCCAAGTCTTCGAAATTCGCACATCTGCTGAGTAAAGTTCAGCCAACGCTTTCACGTATCTGGAGGCTCGATTAGAATAAGTAGTCTGATCATTTTCACATTTTGACCTTGCATTAGCTGTTTCATGGCTACTCGGCTTGACGCCAGACTACATGAAGCTCTTGTCACTTCAGTTTGTTTGAAATGTTTTTTTAACAATCAGGCTAAAAATAGCCATAAACCTTGAAGTTTGGATCATAACATTATAAGACAAGCTAATCATTATTGCATTCCATTTACCAAGTAGCAAAATTTTGAGATAAACTTCGCCGAAGAAGTTGGAGACATTCCTAAAGATGTGTCAACACGACCTGGAAGAAGTTGGTTGTGAGCACAATCATTTGCAATGGGCCGGCCGCTGGACTGTAGCTCTTGGGGCTTAACAGGTTGACTCTTACACCAGATTTGTAGAAGTGAGACAAGATAATCCAGTTCAAGACAACTAATCACTGGTACGGGATTCTGTATGTCGGGAGGAACTAAAATTGGTCAAGGATCTGCGATAGGAAGAACAGCTTTGAAATCTGTCGAGGGGGGTTGCCGCAACAAGACCACGTTAATTTCCCTCATAGAGCTGAGTGAATGGATAAAATGAGAATGGCTATAAGAAGGAGAAACTCGTGGGAGCGGATAAGTTTCTTCGGCTGCCATGCTATCTTTAATAGACACCCATAGGTAAATGCATGTAAATTAAATTTGGGAAGCTTAAAGTGGCCCTCGTTTTAACAGCAGGGAGCTATGGGAAAGAATATCACACTCAAGGTTAAGGGTATAGTTTGGAGTAGTTTGGAGGATGATAAATCATATGTCACTTTACGGGTGACATTGGGCTGCGTAGAATGCTTTCTTTAGGATCCGGAAGAGAAGTAGAGCTCTGAGTACAGTTGAGGCTATGATAGTATCATGGTCCGTCCTCATCCCAACATCGGGCCAACTGCAGTGCATGGAAGGTAGCTCGAGCATCTGATAACTGAAAACGTGTGTAACATTGTATATTCGGCCACAGACTACAGTATTTAGAAAGAGAAAAAAATCTAGATGGGGCACCGTGTTGCTGAATAACAACGACCACTGTTACTTGCAATTGTCGACAGCATCTCTTCCCTCTTGAATGAACTGGCTGTTTGGGGTGCAGAGCCTGCTCGTTCGGAGATCCTGCTTTGGCTCAATTTTAAGTTTTGGGTCTGTTCTCCGGTTTGCGAGGATGATCATATCGCAGTAGGAAAGTCGTGAATTTTCTCAATCAGTAGGAGAGATGTATAGGTTGAAAAGGCCTCAGCATAAGCCTCAGTGTTAATATATTGCTCTGAAATTATTTAATTTAATGGATGTTAAAAGGCTCTGTAATTATCTGGTACAATTTCATTTCTGCTCAATCCACTTTTGCTTTCTCCTCCGAGAATAGTGTGCATGAGCAACCTTATTCAGAACAACGGCATCCTGTTATCTATATGCAAAGGTGGATTGGATGATCGATAACATTACAGAGTAAGCCCTGCTGCAGGTAGAAACGTTGCAATTCATGGCTGTCTCACATACATTCTATTTCATTTGGTCTTTCGAATTCAGATCTCATTGCAGATTGTCTCCGTGTTTCGTGAGAACAATTGCCACGTCACAATTGAACATTTGACACCTTACACACATGAGGAATATTATCTCCTAGACTTTGTGTCAGATATGTTGAAGTGAATGTTTCATACTGCAGCAAACTGGAACAGAAATTCTGATGGATGTGTAACCGATCAACCTTGACTGTTGAAATCTGCCTTCAATAACACGGAACACACATCCAGTACCGTTCAGTTGGTGGGCGTTACCGTGCTTTCATAACTGGTGAGACTATGCAGCCCATGGACTGTTGTGCAGCGGATCAGACTTGTTGGATACGACCAGGTGAATTGAAAATTGTCGATCACAACTTTAGATGGTGCTTGACTTGGTTGATACCACGGCCTAAGCTTTACATTCTGCCCAAAGACTTAACTTTAAACCCAGCAGAGTGTGACGTGTTGTGTTCTATGAAGACGGTGGGGTCTTCTCTGACTATTTTGAGCTCTGGACTTGTGATATCAAAGACTTAGCCGACCTTGCAGTGGATCAAGCTTGATCTAAGTTCCTCAATCCAAGATTGCCAGATGCTCGGGCGACGTGCATCATCATCTACGATCATAATCTGATTGGAGATTGCCTACAGAACAAACTGCATGGTGGGAAGGTCGTGAGTTTATTCAGCTGTAACAGGAGCACGTATGCAGTGGCACAGTACTGAGGCCAGTAGGGGGGCCGAGGCTGTAGGCCTGAGATGCCACTGATATAGCACCACGCAAAGCTCGATTGTAGACAGGTCGCTTCTGGAGATGTTTTACAGGTTGTGCTTTCTTTCGAGTCCACCCATTCACACCTAGAAAAATATTATAAAAGTTTGTTCCTTTAACTGCTCCAAAATGCACGGGACCTTCATCACCAATCAGTCAGTGAGCTGAGCGCTTTCTTCCCTAAACTAGAAATCGAGAGTCGTCAGTCTGCACTCTGACCGAGTCTGACGATCTAACCATTGACCTGCATTGATAAAGTACATAAAGCACAGTTTCTGCATCTTCTTGTGATGCAAAGCAGACAAGAGTCAGACTACGGCCTCCTAAGCCTCGCTACTTTCTTCAGCTAGGAATGTTTGCCATTTGACCAAGGTCTAAAGATCTTTTGGAAAGGACACTTGGCTAATTGGAAGTGACGAGACAATTGCCTGAACTGGATAGTTCACTGCTTATGCTCGAAAGCTTCGTTAGCGAACTAGATGGAGACAGTTGTCAAGATTTAACTAGTCTTTGAATTAATAACCCATCTCCATATACTGCTATTGACACATCGTTCTCTAATACTTGATAGCCACAGATCTCTAACGCTGTGAGTCTACACCCTTCATATTTGGTACCCATCTCACCCTTTTCTTCTATCTACATCGGGCCTCTATCGATCTTCCGCGCTTTTTATTCCATGTGTCTCTATATCCATCATGGATGGTGAATTGTACTCAGACAGATCCCACAAAACGCTGCCTTAATTTGTGTCTCCTACCGCACTGGGAGCATCTCGCCTAATATGATAAGGATGGAAGAAAATAAGTCGACGACACAAGTCTCTCGAGGTACTACTACAGAAAGCAGTCCACTCAGACATCAGTCAACAAAAGAAGACCAATGACTGAAGAGCACTCATAAGAGGAAGACGGAGGGGTGACTAGAGTCCACTTCAGGAGAGTACGGCGAAGCGAAAAAGCGAAAAAGCAAAGTCACAAAACCAAATATAAAATAAAGATATATAAACGAGGTACGCTGGTTCGTTCTCGCTTTGTCTCGGCATTAGTGAGCTTTTATGGCATTACGAGAAATATTTCTTAAAGAATCAATCTTGGTTAGGAAGTCCACTGGGACATATATCTTGAGCAAAGAGCTGCCTGCATAGAGGTACATTGGGAAGGGCACAGAACTTCATTAGGAAAAGGTGGCGGCTGGTGATGCCCTAAATCAGCGGCACACTGTCACCACATATCAGAAACTGCTGTCAGGAGATCACAAAAGGTAAACTCAGATTCATGTCAGGCTATAAATCAAGTCCTTGGGGATCATTGATGAGGAGCACAACGTTTGTTCGGGTGCTTTCTTCAGGCTCGTGAGTGAGAGGACTAGGCGAGCTCCACCGTTGTGAACAAGGTTTTCATGCAGACATGAAAATCTATTGTAACAAGGTGATACAGGTCAAGATTGAGGTCTAGGTAGACAAAGATAGAGAATTTGGAAAAGGATGACTGGTCTCTGAACTATAGCAAGGAAATTTAATACCTGCAGCATCCGGGTGTCATAAAGTCGTCAAACATTTTCTATAGACGTATACCTGTCTCATCTAATTAGCTGCAGAGCTCGGAAAACGTCACAGTTCATCGTGCACAGTTCGATGCTGTTACATACCCACAGCAAATTTTGTGCATTGCATGCGGAATCAGAGTGTTCAGCATGAGCAGAGGGCAAGGAAGAAAACTTTCGGACCAGATCCTGTCCGTCTAGTCGAGTTCCAGTAAAGTCTCTGAGACAGTCTGATAGAGAACTCGGTTTCTCTTCGGCTGCAAATCATCCAGTAGACTGAGCGTGTGAAGTACCAGATTTTGTGTCAACTTCATACAGGAGGCAATGGCGGGAGGATTTGTGAATCCGGTTGGAGCAGGGAAGAATTATGAAGGGCGCACAACTCTTTACGTCATCCTGGCCAGTGTTATGGCCGCTTTTGGCGGTCTCATGTTTGGCTACGATATTGGAATATCAGGTATGTCTTTTCGTGCGATAATTATCTAATAACTGCAGAAGTTTTGTAGTCGTATTTTCTTCTTCCTTCAAATCTAACTTGAGCTTATTTCATTGGAAACCTAGACAACTGTAATGAATTAAGACGTAGTCGAACTCTAAATTTAGCAGAGATTCAAATTCTTTCACTGAAGCTGACAGTGACAGCGTCCACCCGGACATTTCGTTCTGATCATCGTTCGTGCCATGGATATTCACTTGCAGGTGGTGTGACATCCATGGACATGTTCCTGGAGGAGTTTTTCCCCGTAGTTTTCCGCAACAAGGAAAACAAGAAGAGCAATTATTGTGAATATGACAACCAGGGTCTTCAAGCTTTCACATCCTCCCTGTACCTGGCGGGCATGGTTGCTTCCCTCGCAGCATCCTACACCACCCGCAACTGGGGAAGGCAGCCGTCTATTCTCACTGGTGGCATCATTTTCCTCGGCGGAGCCATTCTCAATGCAGCTGCAGTCAACCTGATCATGCTCATCATCGGGAGAATCATGCTCGGTGTCGGTATCGGATTTGCATGCCAGGTCTGTTATGTTCATGCCTAAAGAACTCCTTGGCTTCTCACTCGTGGAATTTGAGCCCGGATATGAGACAGACATTAGAATGCCAGTCTTTCGTGTCCAGTGAAACGATTAGTTTAATGCTGCTGCCGATGCCTATGAGCTAGAGATATAGCTGAAACAGAACAGAAGAGAACCAAATCAAAGATGAGGGCAAAGTAATGTATCTCGAGCTCACCTTGAATACTGACAGCTGGAATGGCTCGAATGTGGTTTTTCAGGCTGTGCCTTTGTATTTATCAGAAATTGCTCCGTCGCATTTGAGAGGGGCGTTGAATATTATGTTCCAGTTGGTAATCACGTTCGGGATTCTGTGCGCAAATTTGATCAACTATGGAACAGGGAAGCTGGAGCCATGGGGATGGCGCCTGTCTCTAGGCCTGGCTGCCGTGCCCGGCGTAATCGTCACAGTTGGAGCTCTCTTTTTGCCAGAGACTCCCAACAGTCTGATCGAGAGGGGAAAGATGGAGAAAGGCAGAGCAACTCTGATCAAGATTCGTGGAACTCCAAACGTGGACGAAGAGTTCAATGACATGGTCGAAGCCAGTAAAATAGCCAACTCCGTCAAGCATCCGTGGAGGAATTTAATGCAGAGGCGCTACAGACCACAACTCATCATCGGAACGATGATCCCGTTCCTGAACCAGATGACGGGCATCAACGCCATCATGTTCTACGCTCCTGTCCTCTTCAAAACCATTGGCTTTGCCAGCGATGCATCCTTGTACTCTGCGGTGATCGTCGGAGGAGTGAATCTCCTCTCCACCCTTGTCGCCATCGCTGTCGTAGACAAATGGGGGCGGAAGATCCTCGTCTACCAAGCCGGAGTTCAGATGTTCATCTCTCTGGTAATTTCAACGAGTCCAGCTTGAATTCTTTCTACGTTGTCGCATCTAACCATCTCAGCCTTACATCAAACTCTGGCAAAATCTCTGTCTTCTAAAATGTTAGGATCTGGTGGATTCGTTGCGTGAGTCTGCGATTCTTTCACTAACTCAAATCTTCGGGAGGACTATTACAATGTTGCATAAGAGATCATGATCAGTAATGCAGTTATTGAGACTGCGGATTCCACTTGTCTATATTGCAGGTACTAGTAGGGATAATTTTGAGATATAATCTGGGACAGCACAACGATCTGTCCAAAGGACTGGGAATCTTCGTGGTGGTGCTGATCTGTGTGTTCGTCTCGGCTTTTGCTTGGTCATGGGGACCGATTCTGTGGTTGATTCCCAGCGAAATTTTCCCCATGGAGGTTCGGTCAGCTGGGCAGAGTTTGGCCATCGCCACCAATCTCGTCTTCACCTTCGCCATAGGACAGTCTCTACTGACCATGTTGTGCGTGTTCGAGTACGGGCTCTTCTTCTTTTTCGCGGGCTGGGTTTTCCTCATGACCGTGTTCGTGGGTCTGCTCATGCCCGAGACCAAGGGAGTGCCCATCGAAGATATTGCGCCCCTGTTCCGGAATCACTGGATCTGGAAACGACTCATCCCTCCAAAACCCGATGGCTACTACGAGAAATTTGACCAAGAACATGCAGTTGAGCTCAAGAAGGTCCGTGCCGAAGATCCCAAGCAGGGAAGCGTCTGATTCTTCTGCAGGTGCCTGTGTAATTATTTGTGTAGGCTGGAAGGCTCCAAGCGAGAAATTTCTTCAAAGTTTTGCATATCAACCTCGCTTCTTAAAGCAACCGCCCATAGTTGTACATAGATGAGATTACTGAGATTAGTGACTTCACTTGATCGTTGTGATAAATTATGATGATGATTATGAGTCTCGCATTCATGAATATGTCAAAACCAATTGGCAAGTTTTTGTTTGCGAGATTGGCAGTAAAGTTTCGAGTCCCGAGAAACGTGTCGATATTCCTGCATGATGAATTTTTTTCTCAGCCATATGAGGGTCGTTGTTGTGGTTTGTTTCTGGATCACTAGTATGTTAATGTGCTGGTATCCGATCAGAAGATGTCTAAAAACTAACATATTTTGATATCTTATATGTAACAATTAACCTATAATATATACAAGGTCTTCTCTTGCTCTTAGTCCCGAGCGGAAACAAACGACGGCTTTTCGAGTTGACATCTACAAGACCATGTTACTTTTGTTGTACAAAATATCTCGAGATGATAGCAATATGAAAGCTATAGATTCTGGTAATTTCTAATATATTATCTGACTCATTAGCTCACTCGGTTAGAGCGTCGCGCTATAAACGCGGAGGGCTCTCTAAACTCATGTCATACCAGTGCTCATTTCATATCTGAGCTCAGATTTTTGCCAAAACAAACCCCATCCCGCGGCTGTGAATTCCGAAATCGTTCTGAAAGTCTTTCAGAACTCCAGAGTCAACACAACCTTCGTGACCCAACTGAAAATTTGAGAGTACAGAATCTCCAGTCTCCAGAATCTCTCTCAGTTGTGCTGTTTCAGAACAGTACAATGTTAGACACATATCCACTTGGTTGTAAAGGCCAAGATGTTCCTATGATACTTTCCAAAACTTTCTTGGTGGACTTCTGAACTTCACTCCACAAATATAAGAAAAATTTATCAAAAGACTAACCATCGATAGTAACTAGAACTTTAGCCCAATTTCAATTTCAATTTCACTAGAAGGATTCAGCATATTTATCAATTTTTATTCTAAATAAAAATTTGAAAAAAATCCGCTTGATATATATTATGTATTTCATTTTGTTTCTACGTAATAAACCTGCAACCAGGTTTTTCTAAAAAAATCTTTTAGGCTGGTAGTGAAAATGTACGTCAATGTTTGCATCTGGATTCTCCACGTCTCCAGTGGATAATATCTTCCTTTTCGATGTTTGCTTTAGATCTGAAATCCATACAGAAACTTGTTATCAACGTGCCAAACAGTTAAAAAATAATCCATGTTGAATTGTTAAAAAACTTCATGAGTGAGAGTTCGCATAGGACTATTGTACAATTTTCAAGCTACTTATGTACAGTGTTCAATTAATCACAAACATATTCTAAATTGCATTTCTTTTGGGATGCTGTTTTGGAAAATATGTCACCTGCACGAAATCTTCCACATCTGAGCTTAGAGAAAAATATCTTTCGCTGGTTTCATCTCACACAACATGTAACCTAATATTCTACCTAGATGTAAATGAGTGTGACGTATTTTCTAGATGTATATACCACAAAAATAATAAGTCCTATCAAATAAAATGAACCATATTCGAATGGCGAATTTGATTAGCGTGCTTGTGAAGAACGCTAACTATCAGTATCAAAGTTCATTGCAAGGAAGAGAGTTGTGTTAAATATCTCAACTAAGATATGAGCCTCTCGGAAATAAAATCATACGCAGGAAGGAGAACAATTTGAAATTTTTATATTATCTATGTATTATATATATATATTATCTTGAATAAAATAGATATTTTGTAATTTTTATGGATAATTAAATTAGCTTTAGCTCTGGAAAATTCTATATTCTTATCTTTATAATACTTTTCAAAGACTTAAAATCTATCTTATTAACAAAACACATGATAAAAGCTTTAAATAGTTATGAAAATATATAAGATTCTAATCAACAACAAATAAGACCATATAAAAAACATCACAAGGAAAAATTACTTTCAACACATTCAAATTTATTTGAGATATATAGATATATCTAATTAATCATATCATAGATATATCAGTAGCAAATGTATCGCATTGATAACTTTTACTTTCAAAAAATCAGTAATCATTAAATTTTCTTAAATATCATATCAAAAATTTAAAGCCAATTCCATTTCGTGTTTCAAACACTGCACGTGCTTTACAAGACTATTTTTCACCAAGAACGTTTTCAAATTCAAAAAAACTCAATTGGAATAACATCAAATTCAAGTTAAGACTTCTTATTGACTATTGTCCTGGCTAGTTTGAATTTATCTAATTGTAAACTCGGCTGTTATTGATATGCCTATTATATATATGAATTTAAGGATAAAATTATAGAAATCATAAAAGCAATGGAGCATTAACATCAAACATTCTATAAATGGTTATCAAACCTTCGACACAAGTTCAATAAAATCATTCAAAAAACAAATAATTATATATCTAACAAATAAACATCAAGTGAGGTGAGGGATGGGAAAAAAAACCACTGTAATGAGGATGAAGGAGAAGGTCGTCATGTTTTGGGCATCGAATAATGATGACAAGAGGCACACCCATCGATCCCCATACGATGCTCCGTGACGCGTCTGGTGGTAGCTGCAGAATATCAACATCTTCGGTCACCTGAGGATTCAATTCACTTCCGAAGTTCGATGGAAGGAAATTCCCTTTAAACCACAATGTGCAACGACCGCGTAGATTTGGTGGAGGTCGCGGTTGCTTCTGATGGACTCAGAAACCGAGGACAATGCTCGCGACGAAATTAGCGATTGCACTCATCACTCGCTGCTGGGTCCCACGACATCGTCTCGGGCGGGCCTTCGCCTTTCACCTCGTTGTGCTGTATTGCTTTCTCAGTCCTGCGACGCGATTCGTATGGAATTGAGCTTCGCCCGCTTCTCGCCCCTGCAGCCTTCGAGCAGTGTCCCTGCGTGCAAGGGGCACGCAGCCATGAGCGCTCGCAGAGCGTAAGCGCAGCTCGAACGCTCACTCCCGTGTCGCTGGGCTCGGCTTCGCTCCGCTCATGATACGCTCATGGCTACCGGGGCTCACAGGATTGCCTACAGCTGCCACCATCGCCCCGAATTCGCCACCTCCACTTCTTCGTGCCTGTCCTCGTCTTGCGCATCTCGACGGAGGTTTGCTCCGGTGAATGCAAGCTATCGCATTCTCGGACTCGAGAGATTTTCTGCAGGGAGGGTTTCCAAGCCCATCGGAGGCGCATTTCTCAAGCCTTTGCAGACAAGGAGCGCGAAGGTAAGGGCGGGCAACGATGGTGAGAGTAGCGGCAGCTCATCCGGGGACGGAGGAAAGAGCAGGGACGACGAGTCAGGGCAGGCGGCAGGAGAGGACAGCGAGATTGATGACGCAGAGGAGATTAGGGAGATCAGGGACGAAATTCGGAGCGAGCTGAATCCTGAGGAAGCTGCTGGAGCATCATCATCGCAGCGGGCGTCGACGGGAGATTCTCGATTCTGGGGCAAATGGTGGGGGAGAGTGCGGCGGCAAATCGACGATGCGGCAGAGGAGGATGCGGAAGGGCCCAGTAACAATGGTGATGATGGTTCTGACAGCGAAGACGAAGACGACGACGAAGGGGACGGTGTCCGACTGAAGCAGGAAGAGGAAGAAGTCGTCAATTCCGTCGAGGAAGATGCTCCCGCAGCGGAACCAGCGAAGGCAGGGTTTTGGAGCAGATTATGGAGGCGAAGGCCCGACGCCACAGCCTCAGCAGATGTCGACCCAGAAACTAGTAAAGATGACGAATTGCTGCTGCGCGACTTGGAGAATCTGCAGTTCCAGTGGAAGGAATTGCTGGAACCGAGTGTGGAGAATGTGCTAGCACTGGCTTTGACAGCTGTTCTGGCATTCGCAGGAGTGCAGATTATTTGGCAGATGGTTGTGGTCGCAACCGCCATCACCCTCTCTGCTCTCAAGTACACAGTTCTGGCCGCCATTATCGTGGGGCTCCTCATATTTCTACTCTGATGATCCATCCGTAGGTTGCGTTAGCTTCCTTCAACCCTTCCTTTCATTTCAGCTCCAGCAAGAAAAAAGCCCTTTGCAGATCAAGCGCGGAGACAGCTGTGCCTTGAAGACATCCACCACCAGTATCATTTTTGTCCTTAACGGGGCCTTGCTCATTCATCCATTATTCTGTCACTGAATTCAGTCAATTTTGTTTTTCTATCGGTGAATCTAACCACCGCCAATTAGGTCACTTGAACCTCATATGATTTGTACATCTAATCTCAATATTCCTTCGTCGCGGACGAAGATGTACCATAGAGTGTAATTCTGCCCAATTTTGTCCCTGGAATCATCCTCCTACACAAAATGTTTGGAACAGAGGTGGTACAAGCGTATGCTCGGGTATATCATGCAGGCTTGGTGGAGCTGCTCTGCGGGATATCAAGTAGTGTACAGGCCGAGGATATGTTGACTTGAAAGTATCACCATATAGACAAAATTAATCTTTGATCGGTGTTGTCTATTTGGTATTTAGCGCAGAATGCAATAAACCCGAGTTTTATCCTCGGATCATCTCGAGCAAGCTGAGCACGAGATGTTTTGTGCAATGTCGCTTGAAGTGAAATTGGACTCGGTTTGCTCTTTCTCAGTTTGGGATGACGGTGAATCGATTCTTTCAATTTGTATGGTGTAAGTTAATTTGATGTAAGAGTTGATGCTAGCGTGCTCGATGGTAGCTCGATGACGAGTTTGACATTTTTGAATTACAGGTTAATCCTGAAACTTCTTATTGCTGCCTAACGTCGAAATAATGTCCTAAGTGTCCTTGCTAATTTTTTTTTCCCTTCACTGCACTGAGGAGCAATTGATGACGACTTCTTATTGGTACAAACGAGAATGTGAACTTCTGGATCTTTGAAACCTTTAAATCTGTCTAACATCGTGCTGCGAGTGCCTCGTCAGGAAATGGAGGCATCATCGAGACATTGCGACGAATTCTCCGACCAATCAGAAAGTATTCGCTCATTATCTTCCGAATGAAAGGTTGCCAACGCTTCGAACTCACCACGGTGCTAACGACTACCATGATTTTTTTTCATGCTCGAAGGTTTTCTGCCCGCGTGATTGCAATAGAGGTCGGAGGTTTGTGACACAGATGTTGCGGCTTCTTCAACCGGGTTCATGTAGAAATTGCAGGTCAAGATTTGAGCCTAGGGTTTGAAGGTTTCGAGGGAGGTACTTCACTAGAACCAATTATGGAAGGCATCTTGCACTGAAGGGAGTCCGGCTGGTGTAGAGGTTAAGAAGCTGACAAACAGCCACCATGTGGTCTCCAGGTCCCCAGGACAATTCCTCAAGTTCAGAATCTGAGGTAATTCAGTGCGCAATAAGCCTGTCGGGATCTGAACGTGCTTGACATACTTTGTAGAATACATCGAAAGATGGATGTAGTGAAGAATGCAAACCTTGAACGATAGTTGTCTAGACAGAGACAGGGGGATGTCCTCGTAGAGACAGTTGTCCCCATGCCAAATATCTAAATTACTTGCATTTTGCCAAAAGTAAGCAGTCCGTTTCATGGAAACGCAATGCACAGAGCACGTGGGCAGGGGGTGGCATTGATCTTATCCCTCGTCTGCCGTCGTCTGTGCGGACGAGAGGGAGGTAAGTGTCTATCTCCGAAATCGCTCGGGAGAAATGACTTTAGGGTTTAGGGGTTTTCAAAGCAGAGGGAGAATAGGCTTTTACGGATGCATCACACAGTCCGTTCTCAGTTCGAACGTCGAGCGAAGGCGTTGGGAAAACAACTGGAACACGAAAATTGACGTTGTTTAACTTTCGCAGTGAAACACATTTGGCCTTGTCGAGGCGTGGAATTATCATAGTGACCAAAGTCCAAATCACCGTCGCAATCATGAAGGGAAACATGGTCAAGCCCATTTTGAATCTACCTGCCCGGCTAGTGTCTACCTCTGAACCATTCGCCGGCATCAGTCCAATCCTGAAAACGACATAAGAGGCTTCGTTCGTGGCGATTCTACCCAACCACAGCTCATGTGTTCCAAAATCATAAACACCGATTTCACACAAGTGATTCATTCCTAGAAATAAGGTGCTATGCAATCCGTAGTTGTAAGGCCTCCCGAGTAGAGAGAGTGTTTCACTGGTTTACGGAAAATGTCAACATGTCGAATAGTATACAGGGAAGGGCAAGGAGGTGTTGAACTGATTTACGAATGATGCAACATCGATGAATACTGCAAAAGGGTACCAGAGCATGGATACTCATCCCCATGCAGCTAATGCATAATTTCTGCATGAAACGAGGATAATTCACCATATACTATGTCTGATAATAATCCATCACCAGTAGTGTAGTATTCAACCCCCTGACACACGCGTGAACCGGTTGAAACACCGTGCACGACGATACAAGGCCGACAGACCGCCAAAAACGCAGTCAGAGTCCCAAACCTCTAAATTGCGGAACCTTCAAAGAATGTAGTTGTGATCTGATTCCCATACTGTACAGTTTTGTGCTCATCCCTGGTGCCTTTGCAAACTTCACTTCTTACATTCGCAAGATGCAAGTTCACGCAGTCAATAAATACAAAGACGGAAAATATGAAATAGACAGCAAAAGGGATGGAAAGGCCCTCTCACTGTCAATAATTAGAAGAACTGGAACCGTCGACTGTCAGCCGTCTCACGACACAATTCATTCTGGAATGACAGAAGGAAGAATCTGAAACCACTTGTCTCACACACTGCACTCCATCTCACCGATGTCAGCAATGAATCCAGCATCCATCGATGTTGATTCCTGTGAAATTTAGGATGCGGGCGAAGACGGAGGACAGTCCGCGAAGAGCTTTCTCGAAGTGAAAGTCCTAAAAGACGGAGAGAGAATAGACCAGTACTACAAGGTGCTGGACCTCATCGGCGAGGGCAGGTCGGGCAAAGTCCACGAGGTCGTAGACGTGAATAAGCCCGACGAGAAGCTGGCGATCAAAATTCAGCCCAAGTTCGATGAATTAGGAGGTAACAGTCCCGAGCGCGAGCTCGCGAGGCTGTATAAGGAAATGCTGATTTGCAACAGAATTCTGCCCCCACACGAGAATGTTGTCCAGATGAAGGACTTTGTCGTAGGCAAAGACAAAGTGTACATCGTGCAAGAATTGTGTGTGAAGAAAATCGACCTGTTCAGTTTCTTCGGCGGCGCGCACGAGACCAGCGCGCGCAGAGTGTTCAAGCAATTAGTGAGTGCAGTGCACCTGTTTCACCAGTATGGCGTCGTGCACAACGACCTGCAGCCGCACAATGTGCTCTTCGCCGACACCCAGTTCTCGACGTGCCGAATCATCGACTTCGGCCTCTCGATTTACAAGCCCGCCTGGGCCAAGAAGGTCCATAGCAATTTCAAACCATACGATTGGTTCAAAGCCGAAGACCTCGAAGGGGCCACCGACATGGCCGCCTCCAGCCGATACGATATCAGGGCCTTGGGCAAATTCCTGCACGCCATGATGGCTGGAAAGCACATTCCCATCATCTACTCGGATATGTCGTTCACGATGCACAATCCCGATCACTACAAGCCTCGAAAACAACTCTTCTGCACTGCGGCTTTCGATTTGCTCTTCACCATAGGCCCGCCTCCTTTCGGACCCGAGCTCGACGACGAGCTGCCGACCATCGAGGAGATTCGGAAGCACCCTTGGCTCGTGCAAGGGCACCTGAGTCGCCAGCATAAGATTTTCGAGGAGGAGTTCACCCAGTTGCCCGAGGATTTCACCGTCCTCGAGGTCCTGCTCAAAGACAAATCCACCAGGCCCTTGAGAGTCATCCGCGACGATCTCTCGAATCATTACATCATCACGGGAGAGTTGCATCGGACCAACTCCACGATCGGGGTCATGGAGGGAGTGGATGCCAAGACGAAAAGCTTTAAGAAGGCTCTGAGACTCTTGAGCAAGGTCGACGTGACGCTGATGTCGGCCCGAGAGGCACGCCTAGAGGCTTTGAGGATTTACAACGAGCTGGTAATCACGTTGAGAATTCTCCCCTCGTATAGAAACATCGTGCACATAAGCGAGGTGCTTTTGACGGAAGATTACGCCATGGTCGTCAGAGAGTTGTGTGGGACGCAGACGCTCATGGAATTCTTCCCTGTGGCCAAAAACCACAGCGCGCGCAATATCTTCAAGCAGCTCGCTGACGCTGTTCAATTCCTTCATCGGTACGGGGTGGTGCTCGTGGACTTGAAGCCGCACCACGTTGCTTTCATGGATGCAGGCTTCTTCTCCTGCAAGATCATCGACATGAGCAGCGCTGTTTACAACTGGGAGCTCGCTGAATGCACTCATGACTTTTTCCAGCCCGGCAGATTTATCACCCCCGAGGTCACCAAAATGCTAGGACCCGGCAATCCTGAAGACGATGTCAGAGCCCTCGGCAGGATTCTGCACGCCATGATGTCTGGGGCGTGGGAATCTAATACTGGCACGAGGACCTTGGCACCAGCTCGACCGGGTTTTCACAAGGATGCGCTGAATCTGCTTTCCTTAATAGGCCCACCGCCCTTGGGACCAGAATTGTTGCAGAAGACCTTGAGCATAAATGAAGTATGTGACCATCTTTGGATCAGTCCTGTGCTCAAACCACGATGATCTCGATCCAGCCTGATCGAAAGACTTGCAGATTTTTCCGTTCTCGCGAATCTCCAGGTAAATCCGGTGAATTCGACGTCGTGGCCGTCACAAGGTAAGTCACTAACCACAACTCTCGAACGAGATCGATGACTTTACAGACTTCGCCCTTTTTATGAAACTCAGAGGATCTCCCCGTCGCAGCCGTCTAAAGGTAAGCAAGAAATGATAAATTCGCATATCCTCTAGTACGTCGTCATACCGCAACGATGTAAATTCGTTAATTATGGAGGCACACACACATTACTATTTCTTTTTGGTTGCCCTCGATTCGTTCTGGCTTTAACTTTCGGCGCTCAGTGTCCGAGATGAACGGAATCTAGTGGAACGAAAATGGTTAGGTACGAGTGAAGGGTTAGGAGCATGTGAGATGTATTTAATCTGCAGTTATCAGTAATGCTAGTGCGAATTAGACGAGGTCAAACGCTCGGCGTAGATCAAAACTAATGCAAGTTCAGACTACTCTACGTCAGAATTGCTCGGCAGGACAATCGTCAAGTCACCATGGAAATCATTTACGAAAGAGAACCATCGTAGTGCCTGAGGGACAACCTTTTCCTGCGAAGATAATCCAGAAATCGAGACCAGTCTTGACATACACACCATAAACCAAAGCTGCATTTCATTCTTTGAGGTATGGACAATGAACTCTTCACGTCGATGTCCACATGCATTCAATTTCGCTCTAACTACATGTTGATACAAAGAATGACCGGAAACTTGGTACAGGGCATCAACTAGAAGCAAACAGAATGCGCCGTGTATATGGACATGGACATGCAAGGCCATGTGAATAACCTCAAACAAGGTCGCTTCACCAATCGGAGGTCCAAGTAGACCTTCGATTGCATGCGCTAAGTGCTTTCAGACGAAGGGTCTGCTAATGCCTTCACTCGAATCCATGGTTTCACACTGAACTGTCGTCCAGGCTATGTCAATTCCAGCTATCCAGAATCTCATGGTTTTTGTACTGGATTAACTTCACGAATCAGCTTTCCAGAATTTACGTTCATTTCATTGTGGATCAATAATATCCTGGTAAACGAAATATCTTGGAAAAACATTAATTTCTGAGAAGTCATCTATCCAGATTAAACGTTCTGTGCTGAGGATTGTGCAGTTCATATATGTTCTCAAGGATGAAATCGACAGCACCTCTGACGATGATGGAGTTTCGAAGGCCAGGTTCATGTGAAGCAGGAGTTTCTTTCCACTGGAACTTAGGTTTTCAAGAGAGTATTTTATTTTCTTACCATCTATAACATATTGAATTGCATCTGTTCAGGATAATGTCTGGACTTCGCGAGCAATCCATTCTTCGACATAACAAGGTTTCGAGGGAGACCAGGGCGTGCGAGTAGTTTTGACCTTGAGCATGGTTATGTGTGAATAATGTGAAGAAGTGATGAGAAGCAGAAACGATATAAGCTGTACATCGATCCGTGTACAGTGTACGGTTTACATCGATGTCTGTACATCGATCGATGTACAGAAATCTTTCACAATTCCTTAAGTTTAGTCAGCAAAATGAGTTCGCGAGCAGTTGTCAGTGTGATCGTATCCATGGGGAGGGGCCAAACGAAGGAAGATAAAATAAACAGCTTCGAGAGTCGGGTCAGTCCTTGCCGGCAACCGACCTTGAGGTTGATTACAATGTCAGATGATGATATGAAATTGTGACCCTCCAGTGAAAATTTACACATGGAAGAAAACAATACGAAGTGTCAAATATTGCTAAAGTCTTACGGCTTTTATCTCATTGAAAGTTGCCAAGAGGAGCAATGAAGAGCAAATAAGATTATCTTCACATGTGTGTTTAATCTGAGCATTCATCTTGCTTATCTAGAGGACTAAGATACTTCTCAATGCAGACTGAACAATTTTTTACGAGAAAACATCAACACTTGGCTTCGAATAAATCAACTCTTTCTATTTCACAATTAGTAGCAAATACCGCTGGGAAAATTCAGTAAGAACCTTATTCATCTACCTTCGTGCAGATTTCTCATCCAATGAGATTGGGCATGTCCAATCTGCTTGCAATCATGAAAGGTTGCCAACGATTCGGATCCATCGGGCCAAGTATGACTCCATGCTTCCGGTTTGCAGACAGAATAGATTCGATCAATAGATTGAGTTTTGAGGCAGAGATGAAGAAGCCTCTGAAAATTTCGCTGGTTACCTCAAAATTAAACTGTATTTCAAATTGTGGTGGTTACTTTGGCAATGGCTTCTTTCAGCTCTTGGAGACTTTTGAACTAGTTCAGAGGTTTTGTGACATTCGTTTAGACGAAACCTCCAAATTGCGAGGAGGTGAACAACTTCTGTCATTGTAGCCAACCATGCAAAATGTACTCCCAACAAAGCGGCCTTTGGTGCCGCAGCACGGCAGCAGTGCCAGAGGTTGTAAGACTCCGTAATCAGGTAGTTAGGATCTCATCATAACTCTGAAAATTTGGTATTACAATCTAAATTCTCGTCGGAGCTGGCGAGCGTTCGCAGTCATGTTCCTATCGATTTCAATAAATATCAATTCCAAGAGTTCTCAGTCATCGATTTGACAAAAATATCAATCTCAATTCTCAGAATGCGCGCATTGTGTACACCAGTAGTACAAGAAGTGAGCAGACAGAAGCGTCTCAGTGCAACCTCTAGAATAGGATGGAAAATTATGGACGTGACGCATTCATTGGCCATGACAAAAACTTCTGGTCGCCTAAAGTACTCAGTCGTGATGTTGAATGACTGACGGCCTTGATCGAAAAGGAAGGTCCGACGTGTTTGTAGATCCATGCAAAATTCCTGAACACACTGCCTACAATAGGAGCCCATTTACAGTCGTGACCAGCATCGAAATGCCATGGCGAACGCCATATTTCAAATTGTTTACCTTCCCGTCTTCTTCGGTACAACGAGGTGCAATCCTCCATTCAGCATTGCAATCGATAACCGCACCCACCCTCATTCTTCCAAAATGGTCCACCGGTGACCATAAGAATTTCCCGTTATCCACCATAACCGATGGTAGTGCCTTCCTCAGATGACGCTAGACTTCTTCTCTAGAATTAAATCCCTCAACCATTCTAAAAAGTTTCTGTACATAAATGACCCACCTGCATCTCTCTATGGCTGCTTAATTGGCCAGCCATGGCATTTGCCTGCGAATGACCTTGTGTTGTGACCAGAGATACGACGCAGGACCAAGGATAAGTCAATGGGAAGTAGAGGACCCCAGTTCTGGAGATGGAATTGATGAAGATGAAGAAGATCATTTGATGGGATGCCATGCCCTTGTCAAAACCCTTCAAGAGGACACGGATATAAGAAAATACTACAAAACAAAAGGAGCTCTGGGTAAAGGGTGTTACTGTGAGACTTTCGAGGTTGTGCCTGTACATGATTCTCGGAGGAGATTGGCAATGAAAATACAACCAAAGAAAGATGCAATTTCCAGCCTTCCAGGCCGTGAGCACGTTCAGATGTTCAGATTGTATAGAGAGATTCTGGTTCTGAACAGGATACTTCCCAGACACAAGAACATAGCCAAAATTGAAGACGTGCTGGTGAGCAAGAACAACGTGTACATCGTACAAGAATTATGTGACAAGAGCTCTCTCAAAGACTTCTACCCCGTCGCCGACAACGTCAGTGGAGCCAGAGTCTTCAAGCAATTGGCTGAGGCGATCCACTTCTGCCATCAGCATGGCGTTTTTCACAATAATTTGTGTGCAGACAACGTCCTCTTTGCCGGCCCTGACTTCAAGGAATGCAAGATTATAAATTTCGGCCTCTCTGAATATAAATCGAAAGAGGCCACCAAAACTTACAAACGCTTCAATCCAGGAGATTGGTTCAGCGAAGAACAACTCAATGAACGTCAACATGTCTCGCTCCTGAACGATGAGAAAGATTTGGGCAAAATATTGCTCTCGATGATGTCTGGGACGGCCACCACGATTGAATATTCTGGCTGGCCGTCAGAGAAGCGGCTCGGCACGTTCGTCCCTAGAATGGATAGGTTCGATGAAAGGGCCCTGGATTTGCTCTCGAGAATAGGGCCCCCTCCGTTTGGACCCGAGGATGAGAAGGACGTCCTGCCTGTGGACCAGATCATTAATCATCCGTGGCTTACAGCAGCAAACGAAGCTCCTGTCGTCAAGAACTTAGACAGGGAGTTCTCAATGTTGCGAGACGATTTGACAGTACTTGCAAAGCTCTTCAGTGACAGGTCCATGACCCCTCTGAAGGTCCTGACACAAGATGAGGAGCTGAATGAGCACTACCAGATTCTAGGAAACCTTCAAAGAGGCGCATTCGTGACGACACTCTTCGAATGCACAGATACTCCAACTCGTACCTGGCGACACGCCATGAAAATGTATGAGAGGAAGGGAGATCCATCGATCAGCCCTGACGTCGCTGCAAGGCCACTGAGAATATACAATGAACTGATGATTATCCTGAGAATACTTCCCAGACACCCATTTATTGTGGATGTGTATGATGTGCTGGTTCATAAGAACTTCGCGGTTGTGGTGCGGGAATTGTGTGAAAGGCACACGCTGGAGGACTTTTTGCCGTTTTACCGAAATGAAAGAGGACGCCTGATCTTCAAGCAGATTGCGGAGACGGTTCGCTTCTTGCATCGATTCGGTGTGGTGCATATGAACTTGCACTGCCAACATATCGTCTTCGTTAACCACATCTCCAGTCAATGGAAGCTCGTGGATTTCAGTAATGCTCTTTATGTCCCGACTTTGGCTCAATACAGTCGCCAGGACTTCGATACCAGGAGGTGGATTACCCCTGAGCTCTCGATCATGGCAGATGACGCCAATCCTGAAGTAGATGTCCGAGCCGTGGGACAGATTCTGCTTGCGCTGCTCGGGTTGCGGCCGCAAGGAGCTGATCCCGTCTCACAAGGAAGACAATGTGACGCAGCTGCTTTGGATTTGCTGTCAAAGATTGGCCCGCCCCCTTTTGGATCACATGTTGGACAGCGCACGTTGACGATGGAGGAAGTATGTTCTCATCCATGGCTTGCTGAGATCTGAGATCACTGGGATGAACATCAGACCAGTTGGATCAGACAATGCCATCATGTCCAGATCAAACTCGGAGGGATCTACATGCCCGCCGCATGTGAGTTCCACAACTCCTCGTGTCTAGATGTTTCAGTGACTCTGATCATTCTTAGCTCGTCATCTTCGGCTTTACAATGCCACCATGGCCGACGTAGAGGCAATGACGACGATAGATGGGCCGAACATTTCTTCTGCAACGAACTCACCGATGCCGGATCCCTCTCAAAACATACTCCACATGCACAAATTGTACACAATCAAAACTCGCAAATCTGAACGTCTTCATTCAGTCCCCGTGAAGACTAAACGTATAACCACCCACCATCGCCCAAGATATCCATCCTCTTCATTCAGGTACCACCAAGCCTAGCAGCATTTAATTTGCAAGGTCCTGAAAGATTCTTGAAGACAAAGTGAGAATTCCACGAAGGTCAGTCTGCAATTGGAAGAGAGAGGAAGAGGAAAGATGTTTCTTGTCCATAGACATAGGATATGTTTTGTTGTCTTGAGGATTGTTTTCTTCAAAGGCCCAAACTGCAAACTTTCCAAAGCCAAAGGACGAGGTCAGATATGGGCTCCACAAGTTGCAGTGCAAAGGTGACCAGGGTCTTCTTCAGCAATTCCGCTCTTAGACAAGGTACGGTTATCAGACCACAAATTGCTTTTGTCTAAACAACTGCAAATTGATTGCAGTTTGAGAAATTTGTTGATCTTGCAGGTTTAGGATTATTGGCATAGAGTCTCACCTTCATTACCATTAAACTACTGTGAGTCGGCAGCTTGAAGTAAGTGGATAAACACAATTGAAAATAAAAGTAATAAAAGCAGATCCCCGTTCCAAAGAATACCTTACCATAATGGAAACCTCAAACTCTTGCTCCTATGGTATAAATCATATTACCATTCGTTTATGACAATAAACCATTTCACTCATTTCTCATGGTTATGAGACATCGGTTTAGGGTCTTGATTTTATTTAAGATTTAGACACTTTGATTTGTATTGTTAGATTACGAAGCATATTCACTATCACATGTTGTATAGAGAATTTAAGACGAGAGTTCAATACTTTAGATTGCAATGTAGATAAAAATGATCGTAATATTTATAGTGAAAAAAATCAAGTTGTAGCTGTAAATATAATCTAATATGTTCAAAGATTTATGGACACAGAAGTTATTAAGAACTTCTGAGATTGCTCAATTTTTGTAATACTTAATATGGTTACGTTCTTATCCTGCAGTCAAGAACTTATCCAAGTCATGGCTTAAATCCAATCTACTTTCGCTGTAGCCAGAGGAATTCGTGTGAATGTGACTGATTGGATGTTCAGCCTCGAGGGTCAATAAAGGAACATTATTTCATCGAATCTTTTGCCACAACATGAGGATCTGTCATGTTGTGGTAAAGGCAGTTAAGCGAGAATCATGCTTTTTGCTATCTAACAAGAACCATATTAGGCGACACGTGTATATTTCACATTAGTCGTATAATTTACTATAAACAAAACGATTCTTTCAATATTATGAGAGCACTAGCATGTGAGATGAATAAGAGAGCATCATGACTGCTCTCTTATTGATAATTGAGCAATCATGATGGTCACGGTCAAAAAAAAAAAGATACCTTGATCTATATAGTCCAAATTGTAGTAGTTGTAACATGTACATCCCAGTGTGATGCGGTTGGGACCTAGCATTATGGTACATAGGACAGGAAGACTAAGTATGAAGAGACTTGTCTTGTTTCACATGTTGTTGATGCTGATAATAATGGGGCTAGACCTGTTACCCGTGAAGTTTCATTGTTCATTGTGAGGCATGATGGGTTTTCCTTTGTTATCCACTTGGCCAAAGGTTTACTTGACTATCTGTTCTTTCATTGTGTCCCTTCATTCTTACCGGCGTCTGGCTTTCTACAACAAGATGAGAGTACAGTTCGTAGACCGCACTGCCATATTTCAGGTTCTAACAGTCAAGTTCAAATACTCTCATTCCCACTACTTATTCGTACAATTGTAGGGTGAACTCATAAATGCGAAGACCAAGGAATTTTGTGTATCTTAATTCTCCTGTTGTGGCAGATATTGAAAGTGTGACCTAGAAACATAAGACTATGGTTTGTCATCTTCATAGATGGCATAAAGCATGCTTTGCTTTCCGAGCTAAGTTTGTAACTTCGTCGAACATAGTCTGAAAGCAAGGTTCGTGATTCCGAGGGTACACAGTTGAGTACAGACATCAACTACGTCTACATAACACGTGCTCGCATCAGATTTCTTACCCTAATCGAAGTCAACGGTTACTCCAATCATGATGCCACTGGTGCACATCCTGTCCCCTGTAGGAACTAGAATGGCTGCGCGTTTGAATGACCATAGATGATCAAAGCTGGAAATTGTCAGACTAAGATCACTTTACAATTTTTTTCTAAACGAGAAATCTTTGACATCTCCAGTTCACCCTAGAATTCATTGGGGACATGTATGTCATACATTAATGCATCAATACATTTTTCTTCCCATCACATAGAGGACAATGTGTACTGTACATAGCATCTCATGGTTAAACATCCCTGTATATTTAGATCAACATTACACCAATGCAGATCGCCAGACCAGGATCATTATATTCACGCATTATAAACTTGATTTCAACTACGAGTAATCAAAAGAAGAAAAAATTATTTTATTACTACGCATCATCACTCCGATCAAATTGGCAATGGCGCTGCGACCCACAGCCTTTTTGTGTCTCCTTTGAATCGTTCTCGTAAATCCCCCTACTATTCTACTTTTGACAGCCCTAGTCTTGAGATTCATGGCGATCGGTCAAATGATTGCCCTTCACCTGATCTGGAAGTTGTGTCTCCACTCACTCCACACTCCAACCTCCAATGTACTCTCACTCTGGAGGGAACAGCCAAGTCACCTGTGGCAGGATCTTCCAACCTGTGTGGATGTTGGGCTCGCAGATTTATGATCACTGTCCTATTGTGACGTCCAGGTTTACGCGGAAGAAAAGAAGTCTGTAAATCCTTGCGGCCTCAGCGGGCGCATGGACTCCGTGAACATGAACTCTCAGTCCATCCTTTCCATAAGCAGTGACTCCCAATCCCTGGTTACGGAGGTCCATGCACACGCTGCGGACGCTGCTGCCTGATGACTGCAAGTATGGAATTGCCTCCAGGTCTCTTCATCAGCGTCATTGGTTGTCAGGGAGCACTCGTGGTTTTGCTCTGTTATCACGTTCAAAGGATGAGATCGTGAGTGCCGTCGCTGCTGAAAACTTCTTCGCGGCGAGTAAGGCCGCCTCGAGCATGGATCGTTCACGGTCATTCTCCTCACACGAGGCGAATCATGCCCTGATTTAAAGCCAAGGAAATAATTGAGGTATGGTTTTCAATCAAGGAATACGTCGGCACTGTTTCTTGGTAAATATTTGACAAGGCGGGAATTGTTCAAAACACTCGGCATGCAGAAACTGTTTTCTTAGCACATCCAGCGTCGGATGACGCGACTTTCGCGGGCTTGCGAAGGGCCAAATTGTTGATGCTTTTATTGAACACTAAATTAAAACTCACCAACGATAGGTGTAACTCATAAACACGGAAGTGTGCGTGTGAGTTTTGTAGGGGGGCTGCTGGAGGGGCCGGTCGAACACAAAATTTATTCCATGAACACTGTGAAACGGGTGTTTGGTGGAAGCATTCACGCCCGAGCATGAGACACCACTTTCAAAGACAAGGTCAAAATTCTGTACGATGGTGGGACAAAGAGCAGTATTCAGAACGAGATTTAGAAGTGAAGGAACGAACCTTGAACTTCTATTTGAGAACTCATCGTGAAAGTCTCTCAGTGAAAAATCCCAGAGAGAAAAAATAGTGAATGTACACTTCTGGGACTCTTCTACCCTGCCTAGGTTGTGAAGATCTAGATCGTGGACGACGAGGGATTCGGGTAATATCAAAACAGTCATATGGCTGTGGGAGGAGAATGACGATAACCCGTGTTTGTGAAATCGTCGAAAACATTTCACGTTATCACAGTCATCCAGTACGTGTTGTGGAGTGTTGAGATTTCTGATTATCTGCCACTTCCACTACCTGCTGTCATGTACTTTTTCTATGGGAAGTTTTTCACCAATGTGGTGAAAAGAAATGTAGCCGCTTTCAGTGGATGTGCTAAGAAAACAAGTCTCGAGTGTTGCCTACTCTCTAAGATAGGCTCATTAAACACAAGGCTCTTCTCGACAGAGAAGAAGCTGATCGCTCACCACAAGTTCTTACAGGCCTTACCCCATCAAGGAAAAGGATCGCGTGCGAAGTCGAAAACCTTTGATGCTCATGTGAGGACAGTCGAAGGAGAACAATGATTTCTTAACCAAGCGATGGCAGATCTTAAAACGCGCATCTCTCCGCTGACAACGGCACCTGCCATGTGTACGTGCACTGTAACTGGACTCTTCGAGCCTGAATTCGACCCTCAGCATGTTTCCACCAAGCGCAAGGTCTGCAGGTATAAACAGGAGCAAGAAATCAAGAGCTGTCACAGAAAATCAAGTGCAAATCAAGGGGTACAATCTTAGTTCACTCCAACTACCACAGGGAAAGAATACGTTTCAAGGTCTCCATAAGGTAAGCATGCAGACAACTAACCAGAAGTGCACTATGCCGTTGCTGCATCATACTCTCCAAACGAGCTAGCAGGAGGCTCATAGCCTGAGCTTCTCTGTTCTTGTCTTTCAAAGGTCGTCGAGCCAGCCGCCCGTCAAGCTTGGTGGCTTCGGCGGCCATTATTCGCGTACCGTACTGTGAATAGACCCTAAAGGAGGTAGGCAACTGATTCCTACATCAGAACACATACACTTCAATATGATACAAAAGTTAGAAAAACAGTTGTTTCCTACAACGCCGATGTTTTGACGATACACTAGGAATCTCCGCTTTACGCCCAGGTTTTTACATCACTTGGTTATCGTCCACGTTGCTTCAGAAACAATAAATGTAAACAGTAACAAAGAACAATAAAACGCAGATGATAAGAACATCGAATAATTTGTTTCAATCCCGCTTCTGATCCCGCAAATAAAAGAGATTTCACACCTGGCCCTTATGCTGCTCGGCAAGTAAGAAGAGAGCAAGACGAGCCCACTCACTAACATCTTGCGGCAAAAGTTTCGTGACCTCCTTCGGTAGCTTGTCTGGAGTGATCAACTGCATGAAAGGTGAGAAAGTAAGTGATTCACTCGACTTCAAGCTTCGACGTATTTGAAATGCCAAATTGAACGAGAATAATATGCTTATTATTTGCCCAAAACACTTAATCGCCATCCATCACTCAAAGCCAACTTCGCAAGGAATCCTAAATTCAGGAAGGTTTTGAACACCCCATCGCTCAAAACCTTGACTAACCATGCGGCTACTATCTGCAAGATGTGTACCGAAGCAGAGTAACACGCCTAATCGAAGCTAGTACTCACCAGATCTCGGGAAACACGAAGAACACGCTCGCCAGCTTGAATGGGACGGGTAGCGAACAAGGCGACAGGTACAATTTCAGCACTGGAGAGTCACAATCGAAGTTATTACCATTTTCCCCCGGCTTTAATATGAGAGATAGCCAACAATGCTCAGAGGTAAAAGGTCTGAAACGCGAACGATTACAAATATTTACAACAATTGAATTTCTCAGTTCACCGACGGCCTAAAAAATAGAATCATAATCATAACTTTGCTGATCGTCTCGATATCAGTAACAATCAGAAATCTAATTGACAGTTAGTTAAACCTGAGTTGAGTACCTGCCATGTGTGGAGATTCCCACAGTAGTACTAAGATAAGCATCTCGCTGTCCGCGCTCTTTCAACCAATCAAGGAACTCAACCTGCTCCTTGTAGCTTACAGGCTGAACCTACGCGCACGGAAGGAATGCTCGTGAGACATTATTCTAGGATAAATAGTGCGGCCAAGTACAAAATCGAAAGAAGGAAACTGCGGCAGTATTGGCCAGGTCTATGCCTACTATTCACGAAATCCGAACTACCAACTTTGAAAGGCATGAGAAACGAAAGCCGAGAGTAACAAGGTTTTAAATCCAGAGTCATTCTCTAGCATCGCTATGCGACTACCTTATCGAACGATGAAAAATCCAGGAACAGAAGTCATTTGGAAGAGTTTACAATAACCGCCTGGATACGAGACAAGTTTTTTATAAGGCTGACATGTTTTCTGACTGCACACCGGCAACAAATTGAAATTCAAATTAGCCAACGGATGATCCCGATTTCCAACGTATATGAGTTACAAATTCTACTGACTGCAGAGTGTACTGTGTAACACTAGGGTTTAGAGAGAAGTTCACTCGAAGATAGAAACGTAAACTCTGAAGATGAGAGATACCAACAATGGTTCTCCTCTCCCTTATATAGCTCTCACCAACAAGTACAAGGTGATAAGATCTAATCCCCACCATCCATACCACTCCTAGTGGATGGATGACGTGGCGGATAACCCTAACAAGCACACGGATCGCTGACGTGGCGCACCCAACTAACACACTAACTAACACACTCAATCCTTACCTACAAGCACACGGATT